TAAATAAATAAATAAATAAAAACTTTAAAAAATAAAAGTTAAGCCAGGAAGCATGGGGTCTTTGCTTTATCTTCACATTAGTCTCTCCTCCTATCTTCCCTTATTTTTCGCCTATATTTCTTGACCAGGTCCAGTGCAAGGCTCACTCTTTTGACTCTGTTAAAAAGCCACTCTCTACTGACTTCTCTCTTGATCACTTATTGTTGGTATCACTTGGAGCATCTTTTGGAAAATCGCTGTGTGGGTTTTGTACCCCATCTACATTGCAGTGGTATAGACAATGTCCTAAATGCCTTTTAACTTTTCAGGACTCAGCACAATCCCTACTGTCCAGTTTGTGGTCTCTAAGCACCATTCTCCACTAAAAGGAACCACAACTGCTTAAGGAAATGGTTGGCTTCATATCTGGAACAAAACGTTCAAAAAGAACTTGGGTAATTTTGTTCTTCCAGAAAATAAGACATTTATCAAAGGCTTATAGGGTCAGATCCAAAGAACACAGAGCCAGCTTAAAGGTGTGTGCTCTGGTCAAATGCAAGACAATGTGAGCATCAGAAAGAATTAATAATTGCAATTGATTAAACATATTGAATTTATTTTAAAAAAGCAATGAGTCCGTAATGATACTAAAAAGCAAAACAAGTATGAAAAACAAAAACAAAACTCATTAGACATTACTGAAGGTTCCTAGGGCATCAACTCTGAAAACTGATGAAGGGAAAAAAATTAATCATGTATCCTGCCCTTCCAATGTGAACTGTATCTCAGAGTAAGCAAGTTCATGTAGTCAGAAGAAATTCAGCTGATAAATGCAGAAGGAATGCAAGAATTAGAAAAATCACCATTTAGCAATCCCTAATGAAATAAGTAATTCAAGCAGTGGTCACCAGTTTGTGGGGATAACCTGAGCCCAGAAATCAACCTTAGCATCACTAAAGGTGAAAGAATCTAACACTACATCCCCATGATGAGGTTCAACAGCATTATCTATGATGAGGTTCAAAGGACACAGCTAAATTAAATGTATTAAAATTAATGTCACTTGTTTTCAACAACAAAAAAGGACACAGCGTTATCTATCAAAATTCTTGACAAAAATAAATATTGAACTTGAATCAAAGTAGCCTGTAGATATAACTGCCAGTCTACAGGAATGACAAAAGATACAAGCTCTAGAAAATGACATCACAAAAAGCAATCAGGCAAACCAGAACAGATTTTTTTTTTTAAAGGACTCTTTTATATTAAAAGAGACACTTAGGAATATAATAAAGGAAATCCCCCAAGAGGGCCTTATTTGGATCCAAATTTGATCAAGCCAACTGTATGGACAATATTAGACAATGAGGGATACTTGAATGTGGGCAGCCTATTAGATAATATTAAGGAATTACTTATTAACAAATGGTGTTAGATGTTAAAATGCTTTATGCTTATAAGGCATGATGCTTATAAAGAAGACGTTATTTTCTTAGATGTATTCTCAAGCTTTTAGTAATAAAATCAAATAATGTCTCAAATTTGCTTAAAATACTACAGTGAAAAGGGAGAAATATATAAAACAAGATTGGCACATCATCAGTGGTTAGTAAGGCTGAGAGACTGACAAGGGTTCATTGTTCTCTACTTTTGTATATATTTAGAAATTTTCATTTAAATATTTTAATAGTGTGCTTCCCCTTAACTGGCTTAATTTATACCGTTTTAACTCATTGTGCTCTCATGTTTTAATCCTTTATTTTACATGCCTTTTAAACAAATACGTGAGAGCCCAGTAAATATTCTAGTCGTGCGGAAGATTCCTCTATCCACCAATGAGAAACCACCGTGCAACCCTCTTCCTCAGATACCCGCCAATGAGCAGCTCCAGCATGCACCTGCCTCCTTCACCACCCTGCTCCCACTTCCACAGGAGGCCCCCCGGCTCCCAACCTGATTGGAAGGTGATCTCACTGAACATCATCCAGGTGTCAGCAAAGTGGTATTGGCACTTGATGGCGCTGGCCATGCGGTGGTGGAGGGGCACGGTGACGAACCGAGCACTGGGGTTGACGTCGTCCAGGACGAGGGGGAAGGACACGGAGTTCGGTTCCCACTCATTGGCCTCCGAGCGGAAGTAGCACTGCACCTCCTTAAAAATCTTCACACCTTTGGCAAACATGTTGTTGCAGTGGACCTGGCAGAGAAGGAGGCATGTGAGGGACAGGCTGACACCCAAAAGTGGCACGGGGACACAGGGCAACCTAACCTGGTAAAATCTCCCCTCTGCCCATTTCTCTGAGCCCCGCACTTGGTGAATAGTTGCTCTGCAGTCTCTTGGACTTGCCTTTCCATCTTCTTCACAGCGGCCGTGATACGTTGGTCTGACCCTCTAAAACCGGGGCGGTTCCCCCAGTCCCCTCTCTGCAACTGTGTGTCCCCAGCCACCTCATTTCCTGTCGCCTCATCAGTTAAGTGAGGGCTGGACCAGCATCCTCTCGGGGGCCTTCCATGCCCTTAACACTCCCACATCTCTAACCCTCCCCAACACACTGTCTGTCCACCCGGAAGCAAGCTATTCTGGACTGAGGTAAGGGGACGTCTTCCCTCCTCGTTCCTCCCAGGTATGCGCTAAAGCCCGTCTACTCCTTCCAACAGGTTTAGTTGAGAAACCTGAACTCACACACATTCCAAAACAATTTCATCTTTCTCTTTAGAAATCTCATTTCAGGGGCCGTGTATTAGCATGTTTTAGCCAGAGACACAAGACTTAATAATCTGTCTTAATGAATTTCAGTTTAGGTCAAGCCCTTCTGATGAGGGCATGGAATCTTCCTTAGGGATATTTTCTGAGATGAGAAAAGAAGGTCTTTCGGAAAGTAGCTTGCATCCTCTTGCCTGCGGCCCTGACTCTTTCACCAGGATATTTGTATGGCTTTTAAAAGGGTCATAAGAGTGCTCGCTTCGGCAGCACATATACTAAAAGGGTCATAAGAAACAAAGAACCCACAACAGTCATCTGGAGCACCTTGGTGTGTTCAACATCCTTCAAAAATGGAATGTACATATTTGTAACTAGGTCAGGTCCCTGGTGGTAGTTCACTCACATTTCCTCTGGCTCAGTTGTACGTGGAAAATGGAGCTTCACTGGTCACTAGCCCCTGAATTAAAAGACCTCATAGGTTGGAAAAGCCTCATTGCCATTCTGGGAACATATTTGCTATTTGAATTTTAATGTCTTGCTTAGGCCCTGCATTGTAACCCTCCAACTGTCTTTGATACCCTCCTCTGCTTTCTGGATGGCAACTAACAGGACTACTGTTGAGAATTTATGTTTAGCTGAAGAAACAGCAGCAGTGGGTGTAGAAATGTTGTGATCGAAGAAATGAGCAGAAATACTCTGAAAGAATAGAATAAAATCACCTACTCTGACTCTCTATTTCTTAATGAGCTAGTGCCCAGGTAGGTGTGACCTGCCTATGGCCCGTCAACAACAGAATGGAGTCTAGAACCCTAGATTCCTAGTCCAATGCTCATGCAAGTACCACGCCACACAGAAATGGAGCAAGTTGCCTTAACTTCTCCATTTGGATTTTCCTGTAAATAGTTCTAACGATGAAAACATCTATTAGTATCTTCCTTGGGATGAATTAACCATTCCGGTTTACTGAGCACAAGTCAATGGAGCAAGGCTAAGAAAAAAAAATCCAAAAAATACCATCTAGAGCTTCAGTAGATTTTTCAGATTTTTTTGCAATCTGCAAAGTGTTGGATAAGTAGCCTGTGGGGGAGGTAGTAATCTCTCCTACAGATGTTTTGGGAATTCTCCTGGAATGCAAATAAATAGTATAGAATTTCATTCCCCTGTGGATTTACATATTTATTTAATAAATACATTTTAAAAGGACATTAATATATTTCAATAGAATATTTTGACTGTATTTAAGGGGTGGGGGGAATCACAGTAATTTGCCTAGAAACCAATAACTACTTTCTAGAAGATATTAAGGACCTGAAAGTTATCTTTTATTTTTTTTGTCTCAGAAAAATTAAAATATGCTACAAACTTGTTTGGCCTCAAGAGGACTGGCCCTAAGATAGCTCTTAGAAGCTTCTTGCACCTACTTACTGCACAATATGCTTTTGAATAATTCTGACCTGTGATAAACTAATTAAACAGGAGCTACGGGGGACTCAGGAAGATCAAAGTCTATTGACTAAATATTATAACTTTGTGGAGAGCTTAAAATACATTTTATTATTTATGAGACTAAAAATTATCCCAATGGTATATTTTTGTGAGTTGAGATACTTGTTCATAGGTTCATGTGGATATCTCACTATTCGGCAATAGAAATAAATTTTCCTTGGAGGTATATTTTTGTCACTATGCATATTCCCCTCCTCCCTCCAGAAAACCCTGTGAAGAATAATGTGTCACACACAACTGCACACACTTATGTTTTACAACCTGCCAAGGAGCCATCCTTGAACAATATACAGGCAGATGGGCATGTGTTGATCCTTCTGTTCTCATCCTAAATGTTTGTTCATTTAACTAATAGCTATTAATCCAGTTAGGAGATATTATCACATTAACATGTGAAGGTAATATAATAGACATGGATTTCCTCTTTGGCTCCAAGTTTGTGCCAAGACTAACAAATTTTGATTTACTAGGGACCCTTAATGATAACACACATTTCATTCTTCTGGGTCCTCATCTCATCCTACATACCTCCTTTTGCAAATAAATAGTGCCTTCCTCCACTGAACTGCAAATCATCCCAAGGGGATTTAGATAGAGGCAGCATCACCAATTTGTTGGCCATTAATATTCTGTACCCATCTATGAATAGGGAAAATAACAGATAAACAGGGATCCATGTGTGAGGTCAAATTCACTTGCCCACTCTCTTGGGCCTCATATTGGAGTCCTCTCATGCTCCTCAATAAACCAGTAAGAGTTATATATGAACCACAAATACTTCAGGGGTCTCCTTTACATTCAACAAAGGACTTTCTACTGTTAAGCCCCAGTTTTCCTCAAGCTTAGAGTTCAAGTTGGAGGAACCTGAAATATAGTAGGACAACCAGACAGATGTGCTGTTGCAATAGATAAGGAAACAAAGAACTCTGGAAACAGAAGAGTGCAGAGCCTTCTATCAAGATTTTCAGTGCCCAGGGGAGGAAGAAACAGGGTAGGTGTGGAAAGTGATTCCAAAGAAAAAATACAAATTCTCAATTTTCCAATTTCCAAAGAATTTCTCAATTCCTCCATTGAGAATTAGGGTGGCAATGAGCCAGCCTTACTGATAAAAGGATGTCCCTGGGGAGCACTGGGCAGGACCATAAAATGATTTCCATGGGCCCTATTTACTTTTGCTTTTGTGAGCCCCTCCCTCCATAAAAAAAATTAAAATTGTATTTTAAAACCATGTCGTTAAACAGATGAAAATGATGTTTGACCCTAAAAGTTCTTTTTTCCCCCTGATGTTAAAAGAAGTTAGGTCTTCAAAGTATTGTGGGCTCTAGACACTGGACCCACTGTGCCTGATGGTATGTAGACTCTAATGTTGGAACAATAACAGAAAACATTGAGAAACAGTGACCTAGTCTAACCCCCTTATTTACAAATGAAGCAAGAAGCCCAGAGATGAAGTGACTTGGAAACGCATGTAGCTTGTTAGTGGCAAAATACCGATTTGAATTCAGTTCTGCTGACACCACCCAAGGTTCTTTCCAGCATGCCTTTTCACTACACCATTATCTTGGCTTCCTTGGACACGTTCCACCACACCTAACACCACTGACCTTCATGGTGGTGAAATTCCTGATGCGGTCAAATTCAAACATGATCTCGATGTAACCACTGGGGGCACTTTCATTCCTCCAGCCAACATAGTCATAGCCCGGCCACACATGGTATTCGTGGGTCTGAGTGAAGTCGTCCAGGCCAGACACCCCATCTGTCAGCTGGCCCAACCCTTCAGTCATGCTGCTCAGGCCAAGGGAAGAGAAGGGAAAGGGAGAGAGGAACCTGGAATTAATCGCACATTCACAGAAGAGCTTTTATTCCCAGCTTCTTTACCCCGGGTTTTGTAAGAGTTGATTATCTTGAAGGTCGAAGGATTATGAAAAATCCAGTATATTTTATAGTATTGATGCATGTATCCTGGCATCAATGGAGAACAAAGAATTTCATATAAATGAATTTTACAAAATACTCAATGCTTACTCCTTTAGTAGCAAAGCTTTTAAACAATATTTTATCATTTTATAAGAAAAGCTTTCTATAATCTATTGTATCCTTACCTATTCTTGTATACTGAATATAATATGTTTTTATATAATAATTCAGTATTATCAAATGCATTTGATTAATTAATTCATTAACGAGTAAATGAATGGATGGACGGATGCATAGAATGAACACTATAGTAGATACAGCACTTGACCATCACTCAGTAAATAGTCCCAGAGCTTGTTGGAAATTTTTCTGATTCTCCTTTGACTGTGTGTTATGATTTTTCAGTGAGTCAATTCCAGAGAAGCCAGTCATGCCCTCTTCTACCCCACATCCAACAACCCAATTTGATGTCAAACTAAAGGGAGGAAAAAAGTAATCAGTGGCAAATTTAAATACTAATTTATATGTAATTTTAATTAGATTTGTAGAATACTAGATTCATGGAATAAAATGCATGAATTACATGAGGGTCTCAGGCATTGGATTTAGTCTTGTTTTCTAGCTTGGCAGGCTTTCCACTTCTGATTGTAAGGCTCTTCTTGATTGGTATATGGGATGATTGTGTATTTATGTTAATTTGGCTATTTCTTTTTGGATTTCTATTCTATTTGGCTTCTTTTTATGGAGACACAGAGCAAGAACTCTCCACTGGGACTTCTCTCTTCCTAAGCTCTGCATTTCAAGCTCTAAACTCTAAGTCAGGAGTCTCCCAAATGAAGAGATTGGGATACTCACCCTCAAGCAATAATACATGTGCCCTTTGAGGTAATGTAAAAAGTTATCAATTCACAAAAAAAAAAAATAATTGAGTGATTATGCCAGTCTTACAGAAACACTTTTAAATTTATTTGTTCATTGACAAATGTTTGGCAAATTATAAAATTTGACTGGCCTTATCCACAGTGACCAGAGCCTGGATCTCCCTTCCAAGGATTTGCCATCTTTTTCTTCTCTCTACAGATCAGAAGGCTAGGAGAACATAAGTTTACTTGCAATAAATATATTTCCCATTGTCCCCAGAACAATAAATCCCCATGAAACTTATGAAAAGCAACACAAATGAAAAGTTAATTTCTTTTAGTCAAAATTAAATCAAATGGGGATGGGTAAGGACAAAAACTTCCCCCAGTTTACTTCATATCTTTTAGAATTGTTAGAATTACTATAACAAGCATGTACTACTTCTGTAATTTTTTTAGTTAAAAAAATAACTTTTGCTACTAAAACTATCTATTCCCAAGACTCTGAATCAGGTACTTATACCTCATAATTCAGGCACACTCCAAAGAGATAACCCCACTACCTCAGTTACCAAGTGGCAGGTGATAGTGTCGAAATCTCTGCAATTATTCTTGACCTTTCCTCTGTTACCAGTACCTGCCTTATTTATCCATTTGAATATCCTGCCAGTCCCTTAAATTTATATCCCAAACTAAATCCATCACTATCTCTTTCTAAACTAAATCTTTCACCTAAGTTTCCCATTCCTGCCCATTATATTCTCTTTCATGCTCAGTGGCTCATTGAAAGTGCCTGGCACACCATATGTACCAAAATAGGACTGTTGATGAATAAATGCCATCCCCAAGGTTTCATCTACCTCTTTTACTCATTTACACCCAATCAGATTGCAAATGGTCCCTACGTGAATGTCTCCTCCTCCCGTTTTGGCCTTGGTCCTTCATTCTTTTCATCGGACAGAGATTGCAATTAGAAAATGTCCCTCATCACCTCTTCTTATCACTCACATCTAACCTTTGCAAGCTGCTTGATTAATCTGTCTGAAGCACAGTTCCAATCTTGTCCTTCCCCAGCTTTAAAAATCTTCAATGACTTGTTCTGTTGATGATTATGTTGATGAAGAAAAAACAACTCCTCCTCCTGGCCCTGACATTCAAGTTCCTCCAAAATATGACGTCATCTTTCCAATCATGCTTTTCATCTACTATTTTGCTACATAAGTATGACTGGTGGTTAACTAAATGATTGATCTTTAGCAGTCATTCCCCTAAACTTTACAGTGTGATTCTTTTGTCATTATGCTATTCACTCTGCCTCAAATGCCATTTCAAGATTCTTTACCTGTGAAAGTTCCACCCATCGTTTGGGGCCCACTTCAGTCCATCATGTCTTTTCTGGTTTTCCAAATCAGATAAAAACTTACATGTATTTAGCACTTTACCTTTACAAAATGCTTTTCTTATACATTTTTATCACTTAAGCAAACGGAAGTAACTTTGATGACATGAATCCAGGTGTTTTCACTCCCAGTGCTGTGCTTTCCTACCCTAGCTTACTCTTTCCTTTGAACCCCAGAGCACTCATAAGATTTCTCTTACCCTTATGCTTGTATCACAGTAATTTGTATCCTGGTTTAGTCCCCATTCCTAACTGTGAGCTTCTTAAAGGTAGGACCCAGGACTTCTTTATATTTTTGAATACCTACCAAGTCTGGCCAAATTCACTGTAGGTAGCAACAGTGGATTAGCAAAGATTTATTAACCTAAAATGAATTCAACTGATCTCTGATTTTCTCTATGCCTTGAATAAATGCTGGTTAGGGAGCAGCTGAGTGAAATGATGCCCAGACAATTTAAGTGAACGGGGAGCAACAGTGACTAAGCAGATGGAAAGGAAGTAGCTGGAAATCGACTACTAGATGAGTCAGGTCTTCACTTAGGGGATGGCAGCTGGGGGGGTGGGGGGCAGGAGTTTATTCTTTACACTTAAAACAATGGAAGTGCTGTAATCCCTCACTCCTCTTCCTGAGACTAATTTCATCCTCTGTCAACCATTAGAAACCTCTATCATCTAGTCTGAACATAACCTCTCTCCCAGGCTCAATCTTTGCAGACAAAGACCAAGCTAAGAGAGAGAAGAGTGTCAAAGTGGACTAGAAGAATGGCAAGGCTCAGGGTGAAGTGAGATAGGTAGGAACATCTCTCATCCAACCCTAAATTCCTACTGTGTCTGATCAGTTTCCTCCACCATGGCCCATTTAAGGACTACCCACTGGCCCTTTCTGCTGCTCCCAGCTCGAGTTTCTGCTATAGTCAGGCCATTCCTGTCCTCAGCCCTGTTCCCTTTCCTCTGCTCCCTTCTACCTGCCTCCTCTACTCTAAATCATATCATCCTAGAAACTCTCCTTGTTTATCATAAACCTTACAAGTCTCCTTTCCACGACTGCCAAAGCATTTACATATATGGGGTTCATTCTTCCTGAACTTCTTGACCTGTCCAATTTAGTATACTTATAACTTCAATTCTTCTGGTCCTTTGTCTCCATAAGTAGGCCATTATTTGTGTTAGACCATATTTCCTGTTTTAAGGGTCAAAAAAATTATGGCTACCATACTTAGAACTATACCACAATTTCAGCTCTTGTTTTGTGTAATTTATTGTTTCCCCTGTCTTCCCAAACATAGGATCTAAGTTCCTTGCAAATAAAGAATCCCTATTTTACTTCATCTACATTATTTCAACAATGCCTAACACAGGGTCTAAATAAACACCAGTTGGTTGACTGGTTGATTAATTATTAATCCCAAGCCAAACTAAAATATTATTCTCTTCTAGTGGCCACTTTCCCATTCTGATGACCAAAGTTTCCCAGAATTTACCTGTACCCAACAGCTCCATCATAGACGGAATCATTCAGGTAAATGATGGAGCCTCCAGGGAGTACAAACTGCTGTCCAGCTGGAGCATTGTAAGACACCAAGCCATCTGCCAAAGGAAACACAGATATGTCAGTGCCTTAGGAAGGAGAGGCAACTACTGCTCAGACCAACTATCCCAGGGAGCCACACGAGACTTCAAGGGTGCAATCTTGTTCAGCGTGTCTGCACAGGACTCAATCTGGGCACAAAGGGAGCACCAACAAGGAGCACTCCTCAGTGGCAGTCAGTGAAATGACTCAGAATGCATCATTTAGTGTATAGAGCACCAAGCCTTGGTGGAGGAACAATGTCCTTTCTTGACTCTAACCTAGAGGGAATCGCTTCACTCCAGAGATTACTAATCCCATACCTTTCTGACTTGTCTGCCTTTATTTTCCAGGGGTTGGGGTTTTTAATAAGGTCTATAAGCTTTCTCTCTGGAGACCTACCTAGCCAGACACAGCCATAAAGCTCCACCCGCATGCACACATTCATGGAGTGGTCAGTGACTGGAATGAAGCGGACAAATCTGGCCACGATGGGTGGCTCCAAGTCCTTTAGGAAAATGTCATAGGGGTTACTATTCCCATCCAGCACCTGAGAAGAGAGAAGAGAAAGAGCGGGAAGATGCCTCATATGAGGTTATGCTGACTTTTCCTCATCACCCCTTTCATGGACCCTCTCTTTTGAATTGAAGGAGCAGAATGTATCCTTTCAGCTTTCTCAGCAGCCTTGCTATTCCTCCCGGTCCCCCCACCCTGCCCTCCCTCATCTTCAGTCACACATTGACAAGGGCATGCACATACCTATAAGACAGCCTGTGTACTTCCTCTTCTAGCCTAAGTCAAAATATGGTCCTGGACATCTCAGGGTCTGGATGTCTCTTCTTCCTACCTGTTTCCCATGCCGGTTCCGCCAAGAGATCCAGCGAGTGCCATCCCGACTGTAATTGATCTTGTACATGGGGGCAAACTCAATGCCATGGCCCCCAGCATGGCGCCCTTGGGTCCCCACCAGAGTGATAAAGTGCAGGGTGTGCAAGTCAATCTGTAGGAACTCCTTCAGGTCATCGGGTTCCACTGGAACCTCAGGGCACCAGGCTCCATCCCCTTCTTCTGAATCCAGCCTTGAGACATGGGGTTGGAGAGACAGAGAGGAACCATGACGCTAGAGTTATTTACCAATCCACAGCAAGAAGCTGCCCCATCCTGAGGGGAGAGAGCAGGCTGGGACCCCACTCTGAAAAGACTCTTCGGGTCTCCCCTCTGGCCTGACTGCCACCACCTGTTGTCAGTCCCCTGTCTCCAGGGCACTATGAAACCCAGAGAGACACTTACCACCAGGGCCTAGAGGCCTTCAGATCAGATGTAGTCTTTATTTCACATCCTGATTTAAAGACCTCAAGGGAAGTGAAACCCGTTCTACCCTATATTACCCCATGAGTCATTTTACCAGCCCTTTCCACTTTCAGTCCCAGCAGAACAAGGGTGGCCACCCCTTGCTTGGATATGAAGCTATACGAAGGAGGAAAGAGGGATCATAAGATCACCAGTGTGGGCTATGTAATGCAGTGAAATTTTAACCAACAGGATGGGCATGGCAGCCCAGCAAAAAGCCATGGGAACCCATGATGAGAGTGAGGGGTAGGAGTGCATTAGGGGAGTAGTAAATAATCTGGTTTCATTTTATTACCTCCAAGCTGAGCTACCAGTGAGCAAAATTGTGAAATCAGTATAAGGCTTATTTTGGGAGCCTCTTACCACTTTCCCTCTTCCCTAGAATGTGCCTTTTCTCACAGATGTCACCTATTCATTGCTGTTCTCGTCCAACCCCACCAACCATCACTCTCACCTTTCACATACTAAGAAATTATGGGGAAGATTTACTAAGGCTGCTTTTCTTATGGGTGATTCCATCTTAACAGAAATCAACACTTTACAACAAAAGAATTAGATTCCAGGAGGAGGAGGATTATGCCCTCACAAGCAGAGTAGTTTTTGACACGGGGGTTCACTGCTTTAGAGGACCCCTGCAATTAGGCCACTAGGAACCCACCATACTCTTTATGGATGAGGATGACCCTTCTATGAGGTATCGTTGAGAGAAGGGAAGAATTTATTGGAGGCCTCAGTATATGCTTAAAGCCTTGATGCTTTGCACTGTGAGTGATGTTTCACAGACACCCACTAAGAAGAGGACCGGGTCTCCTAGCTCCCAGTGTCCTACCTCATCTGCACCTCCCTACCTACCACTGTCACCAGCTTCCTGCAGTTGCTCATAGCGAGAAGGTGAGTAAAGCAAACCCATTGCACATCAATGAACCCATCTGTTGTGGGCAGTGCCGCGCAAGGCCCTGTGACTAGGATGGGGTTGCCAGACCAGCACATGGTGCCCAGCCCTGAATTCTCTTCCTGAAAACATACAGGACAGGTGCACTTGATGTCCTTCCCTCACGCCTACAGCTCCCACCAAATACCACCCTTCTTCCCCAGTCCCTTGAGTCAGAAAATGGATCCAACCCAGGACTCAGGCTTTCTTGGGGTATCCAACCTCACCTTCCATATTTGGCAGCTGTGGATTCTGACCACTGACTGGAAGCTGTGATGTCCTCATCTGGAATGTGGCCTCCTGACATTCCCAGAGGATAGCGGCATATGGCTGGACCAAGAGAAACCAAAGAAAAATAGAGAGGAAATACTTTTCTTTTTATTTCCAAAGATTCCCTGCCCCTTGTAGGAATAACATAATTGATTATTGGACAGGGAAACAGAGGACTTAAGTTTTCCAAAGTCTTTCTATGACCCCAGTTTGATCACCCTGACTCAGCCTTTTCTCCCTGGCCCTGCCTCCAAACTTACTAGCATCCAATCCCTTGAGCACTGACCTTCAGCCACACCTATCTTTTGGTCCAAAATTTGACAAGTAATGTAATATAATGCAGTGTGCTGATTTATCCTTTTATTTGGTAATAAGCCCATGGCCCATCCCCATTCCCCTCTTAGCAGATGTGCACTTCTAATCAGTTTCCCAACTGTGCTGAATCATCCTCACAGTCACCAGGTACCACCTGTGACCCAAAACATTCTTTTTTCTAGGTAGCTGATTGCACAAAATTATGGCACAAAGCCAACAAACTCTCCTATGAAGGGACTGAACACCCAGCTTTGGCCCCCATCAGCACCATGTTTTGGCCTCTGGCTAAAAATAATAGCCTCTGAGAAGGATTTCCACCTCTAGCCAAGACAGAGTAGCAGGAACCAGACTTACTCTCCTGGGTGAAACAACCAAAAAAATGAACAAAGTATACAAAAGACTGGGTTTCAATACAACGAATATCAGACAACAAAGGACGGGGAACAAAAAAGATGAGTCCTACAGTGGCACCAGCTTACGGCTGTGACAGAGTCAGGCTGTAGCACAGTGAGTGAGAACTCAGACAGCGTCTAAAGGATTCCCCAAATCAAGGAGACAAAGAGAAGAGTATGGAGAGGCCACAGGGATCTAGGGTTCCCAGAGAAATACAGGATTCCTAGTTAAATTTTAATTTCAGATAAATAATGAGTCATTTTTTAGTGTAAACATGTACGATGCAATTTTAAAAGTAGCAGGTGTGTAAAGAAGAGAACTAGAACCTCTAAGTGAGAAAAAAATCAATCAATTGAAACTGATTCAGAACTTATATAGAAGTTAGAATTTAAGAGGACTATTAAAACAGTTATAACTATATTGTACATGTTCAAAAATACAAGGTCAGCCACTGTGGGAAACAGTGTGGAGGTTCCTCAAAAAATTTAAAAAATAATTACCATATGATCCAGTAATTCTACTACTGGGTATTTACCCAAAGAATATACACACACTAATTTGAAGAGATACATGCAACCATATGTTTATTGCAGCATTTCTTACAATAGACAAGATATGAAAGCAGCCCAAGTGTCCATCGACTGATGAATGGCTAAAGAAGAAGTGTTGAAATATTACTCAGCCATAAAAAGAATGCACTTGCGACAACATGGATGGACCTAGAGGGTATAATGCTAAGTGAAATAAGTCAGAGAAAAGCAAATACCATATGATTTCACTCGTATGTGGAATTTAAGAAACAAAACAAATGAACAAACAAATCTTAGAGAGAGAGACAAACAAATAAAAAGTCTCTTAAATGCAGAGAACAAACTGGTGGTTGCCAGAGGGGAGGCAGGTGGGGAAGATGGGTGAAACAGATTAAAAGGATCAAGAGTACACTTATCTTGATGAGCATTGAGAAATGTTGAATTGTTGGATCATTATATTGCACATCTGAAACTAATATAACACTGTATGTAATTATACTTGAAAAAAAATAATAACAGAAAAATAAAAATATAAGGAGAGCTATAGGTGATATAGAAAGGATATATATCAAACTTGACTGTGTGAGAAAATGCACTGGATAAGATTAAAGGAAGATCACACATTAAAGAAAAGATTGGTGAACTTAAAGACAGCAATAGAAATTATCCAAAATGAAACTGACAGAAATTGATCAAAAAAAATCAATCAATCAACAAAAAAATAGAATATTAGTAAGTTCTGGAACAATTTCAAACATCCTGATACACATGTAAATGGATTCCTTAAAGAAGAGAAGAGAGGGGGGTGCCTGGGTGGCTCAGTTGTTAAGCGTCTGCCTTTGGCTCAGGTCATGATCCC